GGCAGTGGAGAAGGATATCATTAGGAGATATACCTAATGTAAATGACAAGTTAATGGGTGCAGCACACCAACATGGCACATGTATACGCATGTAACAAACCTGCATGTTGTGCACATGTACCCTAGAACTTAAAAGTATAATTAAAAAAAAAATCATGAATATGAAGTAGCTCTGAAAACCCTAAAATCCTATGCAAATATCAGAGTAGGCTAATGTAGTAAGAATGGGATATGAAATCCTCCCTGCCGCCTCCAGCATTTCATGAAGGAAAAATAGAAATTATACTCAGGGAATGCTGGACTATGTACAATTATTCACTCATTTATTAGTGTTCTACTCATTCAAGGTCCTCTTGGAAAAAGGGAATCATTCTAGAACATATCCCAAAGAGCCTAGCATAATGAGCTACTTCCTATTACCAAAGAACGTACACAAAAGACTACATGTCAGGATACAGTCATTCACCAAACTATGGCTGCTCTGTACACAGACCACTTGTGAAGTTCTAGTTACTGAAATGTAAAGGCTAGATAAAATTTAGGTGGGTTTCAGAGGGAGGCAGGGGGGTAGACTGGTGGATAGGAAGCTAACCGCATTGATGTGTTGCCTAATTTAATCTCACAGTAACATTATACAGTAGATATTAGTACTGTTGTTTTACAAAGGAGGAAACAGAGGGTCAGTGAGAAACTTGTCCAAGCTTACTGAGGAAGTATTTGGGGCTAGGATGTAAAGTTCACTGTTTTTTATGACATTATAGTATCTAAGTGATCAGAGGCATTTAAGAATGTTTGTAGTAGCATGGTTTGTAACAGCAATCAACCAATCAATACAATTTAAACATTTAAAATTTTAAAATGAAACAGAAAATCCAACTGTCCCTCCAAGCAAGGGAAATAATAAACCATAAAATTTTCAACTGATACAACTAAAAAGCAGTGAAAATAAATACAATCTCAACTAAAAAGCAGTGAAAATAAATACAATCTCCCAGTCAGCACGCATGAGTCTAACAATGTGCCAAAAAGAAAAAAAGAAAAAAAAAAAAGTTGGCCCGGCGTGGTGGCTCATGCCTGTAATCTCAGCACTTTGGGAGACCAAGGAGGGTGGATCACAAGGTCAGGAGATCGAGACCATCTTGGCTAACATTCGTGAAACCCTATCCCTACTAAAAATACAAAAATTATTCAGGCATGGTGGCATAAGCCTGTAGTCCCAGCTACTTGGGAGGCTGAGGCAGGAGAATGGCATGAACCTGGGAGGTGGAGCTCGCAGTGAGCTGAGATCACGTCACTGCACTCCAGCCTGGGTGACACAGCGAGACTTCATTTAAAAAAAAAAAAAAAGTTTCAGTATATGTTCCTTTAAAGTTCAAAATCATGTGAAAAGAAACACTTTCTTCAGCAGATGATTAAACCAAAATTCAATTTAGTGGTTTCTTCTTCTTGGGGAGGAAGAAGGTGTGATCAGGGAGGGCACCTTGTTTTAATTAATTAAATGTTCTATTTCTCAAGTTAACTTGGGTATTATTCTTTACATAAATACTTTTATAATTTTTAAAACACACATATATACAAAAAGAATATGGATATCAGATGCTAAGGCTGTCTCTGGAACTTGATCTCAACATATTTTTGATACTGATTTGTTATCATTCTCGATTAAAGATGTAAGAGGTATTAGTTAATTCCACAGCAGGAAAAGGAGCAATGACAGGCCATACTTTTCTAAAAACCATTGGTAATACTGTTTGTAAAATCTGTCAAATGGGTTACAGGCACAGTTCTTCACTCCAGGAGGCAAGGAGTGTCTAATCCCATGATATCCACTCCACCCCTCCCACTCGAGCCTAGTCTCTCACCCTTGGCTTCCCTGCTCTTGGCCTTGGAATCCAGCTTTGCCTCTGTAGTCACTCCCTCCTGTCACTGATTTCTGGCCACAAGTCTTGGTTTTCAGCCTTTTTATTCAATCTGGTTTAGCCCATTCATGAGTCACTCTTGCTTGTGGACAGCTTGCATTTCCAGGCATAAGCTAGGCAGGGAAAGATGAATTCGATAAATTAAGCCAATGAAATCCTTTACGAAAGTCATAATGGACCTGACAGGGCTGTTTCTATCCTAAATTCAGGGGTAGCTTGAGATGATATGAGAGCTCCCCAATTGAGGCCATATTTCTCAAAGTATGTGTCACAGTGGTCAGAATCACCTGGGGCACATGTTAAAAATGCAGATTACTGGGCCCATACAGAGCATTAAAATAGGAGCGTCTGAGAATGGAGCCCAGAATTTGACCTCTCTGAAAAACACCCCTGATGATAGTTCTGATGCTGCTTAATTTCCATGTAAAATTGGTATCGAGGAAACCTGCCCTATGAAATACTGTGCTGATATAATCATGGACACAACATTGGATGGTGAGCATATGGGTTTGTCAAAGAAAGAAGACACATCACCAACTAGAATGATGAGCAGCAACCAAGTTATGTCCAGGAAAAAAAAAATGCAAGGTCAAGCTTTTCTCATATAGCAGGTTTACTGCTTAAACACTGTTCAGATTTTACTCACACAGTGATGCTGCTCCAACACTACGTAGCAGATCAGCATAGAGAGACCAAAAACAAAGAGAAAATGTCCTCTGCCTTTTAAATTACCTCTCTCCATTCTTATTGGCCCAGTCAGACTTATGGAGGGTGTGGAGGCGGGAAGAGTCACATAAAAAATTTTAAACAAATGTAAAAGGGGAGAGGAAACATGTCCATTTAAACAGCTGGACTGGTTGTATCAGTATCAACTGCCTTTATTCTACAGTAGAGTTTCATCTAAGATTGAGCCAGAAGAGAGGGTGTCTCTATCCATTTTATTTTGAGTAAATACAATAGATACAATTAGAACCTTAGTGTAATTTTGCTACATTTTTCCATAAAAAGAGCTAATTAAGGATTATAAAACCTCCAACTTTCCGAAGTGCTTAAAATGTTACTATCGCTTCACATTTATAAAGACTGTGTATGACCTGAATATCCCAGTCATGCAAGCATTTGTTCAATTGTTAAATACTTAGTGAACTGGTATCTGGAAGTTTTACACGTGGAAAAATGCACATTTCTGGCATGCGGCCTTAATGAAGGTGTACATAAGATACAAAGCCTTGTCTTGGAAAAATGAACTACAGACTTAACTAGATAATTTTGTTTCAGACCAGTTAAAATGTAAAATATAAGCTACCATAGAATTTAATTGTACACTGTTAAGTTTCAATTTCTGTATCAAGAGACAATTTTTTTTTTCATTTTTTTGGGACTGGCCCACAGCTACAGCCATATTGGACAGATGTTTTTAACTCTAAACGCAATGTAGAATTACCTATCATTTCTTTGCTATGCAGATTGAATATTTCACGAACATTCAAAAACACCCATTTATGGTTTGAACTTATGTCTATTGTTTTCTACTACAAAATGTACTGTTTACAGATGGAAAATTCTGTCTTTGATAAGTGGTGAGGAATTGCTCACAACCATCAGTTACATACAGAGACATACTACAAATAACGCTGGGAAGTGATATATTACAGTTACCAAAATATATCCAGTAACAATCCTCATCTAGGAATTCCAAATGATCATACTCAACAGCTGGCCCCATTTGCAAGACTTGGTCAATGGAAAATACTGCTCCTTTTCTCTCCCATATGTTTCTCCACCTTCTCTATTGCCATCTTTGTGAAAGCAGAGTGGCATGCTGTCTTATCATTCCTGTTCCCTAATTATCCTCAATTGACAGTAATGAATGCAGGCAAGGTGATTAAGCAATGTGGCAACCCATTTTTATTAGTTTATGTTTAAGGCCAAGAAAATTTTAGTGAAGAGGGGCTAGAGGTGCTTTATCATGAGAGGGAAGTGCTGTGGAGTATTTATTTTTAAAAGTCAATGACTTCCTTGCAAGACAGTTACTATCAATTTTGAAGTTATTTTGAATTAAAGGTAATCTGATTTTAGAAAAAGAAAAAAACCAACATGTAGAATACACTTACAGAGGTGACCAACCTTTTTAGAGTTGCTTGATTTTGCTGTAACTTGAAGTTTTTACAAAAAAGTGCTGAATTGTATTTTTCAATTCCAAAGACTTGATTTTGTGTTAATAATTTAATACTAAACTATACAAACATGCTTGAGATAACAAAACTGGTGTAAAGCAACTATCTTAACCCATATGTAGTCTGGTTTTGGGGTCTGAAATTACTATAAACTTATTCAGCTTGATCAGCTAGAATCAAATATTCTGGATAATGGTTATTACATATGTAACCATAGATACATGCATATACAGACACACATATGTATACATATATACACATATTCACATAAAAGAATTATGAATTTTTAGCCTATTATTGGACACTAAACTTCACAGTTTAACCTTTGGTTATGCAGAAAGCACTGGTTGGTACCCTGCAGCACTTTGGAGTCATATTTATGGTTATGAATCAGTAAGCTTATGAACTAATGAAATACAGGAGTGTCTGAGGAGAGTTTCCTCTCCACTGGACTCACTTACAGAACTGAGTACTAAAACTAGAGTTATAAGAGGTGGTATTGATTTTTTTGATTGTATCCATGTGAAGTATATGCAATATAAAACATTTCAGCCTTATTAGGCAAATATGGTACCCCAAAATAAATTATGTAGAGACTAGGTCCAAAGTGTACAAAAACACAGCATGTTTCATAGGGTCCAAAATGAGGGGGACAATAGCCATGAGACAGCAGAGTCAGATGTATGTGTCAACACTCCTACTTCACACTGCTATTGATGAACCTCTTAAATTTATCTTTGTACCTAAATTTGCTTTTATAAGCTAACTCTGCCAGATTAGTAAACTGAACTTTACCCTTTTGCATTTTAAGAATCTAAACCTTGTTACACAAATCTAAACCCTGTTACAGTTCCCACCCAACTCCCCACAATTTCTGATTATTACATCAGAAATCTTCAAAAAACACTTTTGAAGAAAAAAATTTATTTTTATTCATTTATGCAAAGACAGTATCAGCAATAGGTAACAGAAACATATTTCTAAGTTTAGAATTAATTTTCCATTTTGAAAGGTTCAGGACTTTATCACTTTTATCTTACTCTTTTAAATACTTCACTCCAACAAAGGCAAACATTTATTCCCTAACTTTTCCTTAAGGTCATATTGGAATAATTACAACTAGCTCTTTAGAATATAGGTATCATTTATAGAAATCTGGAGACTTAATCACAGAATGATATATGTCAGAATGTCAAAGCACTAAAAAAGCTACAGATAATTTTTTAATGGACAAATGGTGCTTTCAATTTCTCAGGTGTAATAAAGCCCTCTTGGGAATTCTAAAGTTAAAAGACTCTTTCCTTCAGATTCAGAATGAAAATTTTGAGAAAAAATAGACCCCATTGGGCGCTAGTAATATGGCCCATAGTAACTACATTAATTTAGAGTCTCCATGTTTTAGGGATGAAGCCATTGAAAGGCCAGAAAGCCACTTTAAACTCATGTCCATGGCAGATAAAATGATAAAGACACAATTGTTTCCCTTAGAAAGGTATTATATCCCATGGCTACCATTCCAGGGCTTGGCCCTTGAACTGCTCATACAGCTACTTTCATTCTTTAGATCACCAGTTCTAAGAGCAAACCTCCTAAAAGACTAGTAAAAGAGGTGGGGAAAACAAGACTGTGGGTATAGCAAAAGAGCTCTGGGGCTCCAGCTGTGTGTCACAATGTAAAATGAGGACACCTGCTAATCTAGAAACAATGTTAACTTACTCAGTTAAGAATTCTAGCACGTTCTTAAGATATACTTACTAAACAACTTCATATACAGGTATAGTTATATATAACTAAACAACTTTCGTGGTTTAGAAATATTAAAACTACCTACTTTGACTCTTCTGGACATATTTTACTTTACAAAAGGAAATATAACAGGTTAAAAAACAAAAATAAAAATCTATAGCAAATAACTAATACTTCAATGTTTTTATAAAAACAATTCTTTTTCGCATACTCTGATTAACCTTTGAGTGACATAAAGAAGTTACAGCATTCTTTAATACCAGTTTTTGCACAATTAGACATAGTCATTAAGTTTAGCATTTCAAAGAACAATGTTTTTACAAAAAAGAATGGTAACTCCTTGAGAAAGAGTTTAGTTTGTTAGTAAAGTTTAGTTTGTCTTGGATTCTTTAAAAAATTGGGCCCAGAATTTTAGTTATCTTAATTACTATCTCAATCAAATTAGATACGTATGTGTAGATTCTAGATAAAAGATAAAATATTTTTAATAAACATATGTATGACTCACTGATTGGACTGTTTGCTTGGAGTCTGTTTTACTGGGTTTAGATAAGAAAACTTCAATAAAGCTAACTACATATTGAGTGCCACTAATTAAAAATACCATTTTAAAAATTTTGCTTTTGTGGTAAATTTCTAGATAAATCATAAATGCAAAACTCAATATTGTAAATACTGTACTGTTCACAGGTACTTGCAGAAATGAAATGCTTGTATTCAGACTATCAAAATTCTTGTCTTTCAAATTCGGTTTTAAAAACTTTTTTTTTTGAAAATCAGTATTTCCTTTTTAACACTTAAAATGCAAATTTCAACTTTTTAAAAATCCTTGCAGATAAATCTTAATTTACTTTCAGTCTCAATTATTTTTACTTTCTGCAATATATTCAACACAGAACCAGGTTCTAAACAAACATCTAATGAAGAACAGTTTCAATGTAAGATTAAACTAGAGTTGAATAATACAACTTATACAGGAAGTTTCAGTGTGATTTACCAAAATTCGGAATTTCTGTAATAGTGGAAAACTTTCAGCTTAATATTCAAAACCAGCAACTTCCCATGAAACTGGATAGCTGAGAAGATCAAACAGATTTAAATACTGCCCAGCTTCTTCTAAAGTGATGCACTCTTTTAACCTGGAAAACATAGAAATAGTAATTTTATTTTACCGAAAATTTCTGATGACTACCATGGATCTGAAAATTGTCAAAACTTAAACCATTTGTTTTGGGTTTAAACATTACAAATAATGAGATAAAAAGATGATTCTTTTTGAGAAGGATTTTTGAACACTGGGATAATAAATATACCAAGATGGCTAATTTTATTAAACAGTTTAGTTAAAAAAGAAATCAATAATAAATCCCAGTAAACTCAGGAATAACAGGACTTAGACTCAATGTCATTTTTTTTTTTTTACTTCTTAGTTAATAATTTTGCAGTAATGTCCCAAAGACAGCTGTAGAAAATGAAATTGTAAAGAATACTGTTTTCACTAACTGAACTGCATCTAATAGGAACCACAGCTTGCAAACAGCTCTCCAATCTGAAATTTCATGTTTTTAGGTTAAAATATGTACGTTTTTGGCATTTTAAGACATATCATTAACCTATAAAGGTATATCATATTTAGAAATGAAGATAAAAATTTAAAATACATGCAAAACTTTCTTTTCACTCTATGTTCCCTACGGTGCAGAGAGAAGTGAGATGCCTTACACAGAGGAATGGGAATGAGCAAACAAGTAATAATATAATAGTATTTCCTTTTCTATAAAGCTAACTGTGCCCTTTTTCTAAGACTTCAGTTTCACTGTCATATAAATAAAAGTGGTTTCTGGAAGTTACCTCATCTGACAAAACAGTGATACACTATTTAGGTTAAAATCTAGAAAACTGGTCACCAACATGTATTTTCAGAGGTCATGTAGGAAACAAGATTGTGAAGGGGATAGAGAATTAAGACAACGAAGAGTGAAATTAGTTACGGAAATTGTTAAGTACATTCAAAAATACCTCAGGCATTCTAATTCAATACAACAACATGTAGTCAATCAAAGTAGGTCTAGATGTCAGACAACTGCAGGATGCCAACTTCTGATTCCTCTCCCAAATAAGCAGAAAACTCTGAAGTTTTAAAGGGAGTCTTCTGTCTAACACCGGGTGAGAACTCAAGTTTAAAAATATTTTCTGGACTGGGCATGGTGGCTCACACCTGTAATTCCAGCATTTTGGGAGGCTGAGGCAGAAGGATCACTTGAGCCCTGGAGTTCACGACAAGCCAGGGAAATACGGTAAGATGCTCTCTCTTTTAAATAAAAAAAAAAAATCTTTTGGCTGGGCGTGGTGGCTCATGCCTGTAATCCCAGCACTTTGGGAGGCCGAGGCAGGAGGATTACAAGGTCAGGAGATCGAGACCATCCTGGCTAACAAGGTGAAACCCTGTCTCTAATAAAAATACAAAAAAATTAGCCAGGTGTGCTGTCATGTGCCTGTAGTCCCAGCTACTGGGAAGGTGCAGGCAGGAGAATGGCATGAACCCAGGAGGCGGAGCTTGCAGTGAGCTGAGATGGTGCTGTCTCAAAAAAAAAAAAAAAAAAAAAATTAACTAGCCAAGTGTGGTGGTGCATGTCTGTAGTCCTAACTATTTCGGAGGCTGAGGCAGAAGGATCCCTTGAGTGAAGGAGATTGAGGTTGTAGTAAGTCCTGATTGCGACACTGCACTCCAGCCAAGGTGACCAAACGAGGTCAACTCAAAAAAAAAAAAAAAGATTATCTTCTGCTTTGAAAATCATTTAAGTAGTACTGTAGACACCAATGTAATCATTAGAACTTTGGGCAAGGTAAGCTGATGTACAATTCCAGTTCTTTCTTTTCTAAATTGTAGAATGAAGCAACAAGAGAACCAACGTCAACTTTAAATATGTTTACTCCCTGTTGCAATGATGTTAAGAACTTAATGCTGCCATATGGCTCTACTCTTCTACATTATACAGGAGATCAATAATATAACCCTTTAAAAAGGCTGAGCTTCATCCTATATCCAGTCACAGATGGGGGGAAAAAAAAAGCTAGTTCTGTTTTAAGGCACAAAGTAATGGTTAAACATTCCTTTTGTATGTCAACTGTGTAGCCAGTTTTGACAAATCTGGCAGTTCCACTAAAGGTTAAACATGACTTAGCAATTCCATTCCCAAGTGTATATGCAAGAGAAATAAGAACATCCATCCACACAATAACTTGTACATGAATGTTCACAGCATTATTTATAACAGCTAAAAAGTGGAAATAATCCAAATGTCTTTAACAGATGAATGGATGAACAGAATGAGGAAGTATCTATAAATAAAAAAGTGAAGTTCTGATACATGCTAGAATATTGATGAACCGTGAAAACATTATGCTGAGTGAAAAAATCCAGTCACAAAAGGCCACATTATATATGATTCCATATACATGAAAGTCCAGGAGAGGATAATCCTTACAGAAAGAAAGTAAATTAGTGGTTGCCTAGGGATACACGAGTTCCAGGAAAATGGCAGGTGACTGCTAAGGTAGGCGTGTGATTTTTGGGGTGATTTAAATATTCTGAAAATGATTGTGGTCATGGCTGCACAACTTCAAATATATGAAAAAACAGTGAAGGGCACACTTTAAGTAGGTAAATTGTATTTCTCATATTATTTCAATAAATCTATTATTTAAAAAACACCTTCCCTTTATTAACCAGAATATTTCTTTCCCATTGGACTGACCAAGTTAGTTCCTTTTCATATTCATAGACTTAGAACTACAAGTACCCAGAAACCTTTAGTACTGTACCTTCTCATTTTAGAGTTGTAAAAACTGGAGATTTAATAAGATTTATCTACTCAACATAGAAAGTGGGATCAGAAATCAGATCTTTCTGGAATTCAACTAGCCACATTCTCTTCTAATTCACCAACTCTGAATCAACCTATACTTCTTTTTACTCAACTTTTTACTGCTTCACTTTATCCCTTCACACTGTTCAGGTGTATCATCTGAGTAAACCATTTCTTTTCTTTAGTTCAATATGTATGCATTAAGTTCTACTTCTTCGTCTTTTTTTTTTTTTGAGACAAGGTCTCTCACTCTGTTGCCCAGGCTGGAGTACAATGGCACGATCATGGCTCAATGCAGCCTCAACTTCCCAGGCTCAAGCGATCCTCCTATCTCAGCCTCCTCTGGAGTAGTTGGGACTACAGGCATGTACCATCACAACTGGCTAATTTTTGTATTTTTTGTAGAGATAGGGTTTGCCATGTTACCCAGGGTGGTCTTGAACTCCTGAGCTCAAGCAATCCATCCACCTCAGCCCCCAAAAGTGCTGGGATTACAGGCTGCACCTGGACAAGATCTGCTTTCTGTATCTAAAATTTTCTTTTACTATTTCGTCAAGGCAGTCAATTAACCCTCTTCTCTAGTAAACCCTTGCAGTCACAAATTTCTGCTGCAAGATTCTTCCCTAAATGTCACTACACTGTATCAAGGTTCGGCAGCAGAAAATGCACTCCAGGTAAAACCCACTCTGGTTTACTGGGTTACAATCAAATGCCAACAGTTCAATTAAATGCTCTAAGAAATCTCAAAATACATACACCACAGGAAAACAGTTTAAGGCTAACAGGTGCTTTTAAATTATGCATACTGCTCCTTTCATACCTTGAAGTAGTCATCCTGAGTAACAACAGAATTTATCAGTCTGTTCTCTTGATTAAACAGACAAGATACCACCGTTTGTATGCTTCGGTCCACAGATTTCTGAAACATAGAAGTTTTCAGTAATATAAAGATAACTCTTTCTTTCACTCACTTTTATTTTTTTGATGGTTTAATGAACATATTAGTTTATTTCTAAAGAAATGCAAAAAAAAAAAAAAAAAAAAAAGCTAAAAGAGGCTCTGAGCAGTAACTCATGCCTGTAATCCCAGAACTTTGTGAGGTCGAGGCGGACTGACCACTTGAGATCAGGAGTTCAAGACCAGCCTGGCCAACATGGCAAAACCCTGTCTCTACTAAACCCCATCTCTACTAAAAATTAGCTGGGTGTGGTGGCGGACATCCGTAATCCCATCTACTCAGGAGGCTGAGGCAGGGAGAACTGCTTGAACCCAGGAGACAGAAGTCGCAGTGATCCGATATCACACCACTGCACTTTTCAGCCTGGGCAACACTGTGAGACTCCATCTCAAAAAAAAAAAAAAAGACATTCATAAAAATGAGATTCACAGTTGTTACCACACATCACTCAGTGTGTAGTTTTCTGACAAATCAAAGAATTACTTTAGAACTTTAGTGACAGAATACTGGTTTAAAAAGCCCAATTTTTTAAATCCCTAATTGAACTCCAATGTTTCAAGAAAAAATACTCAGGACAAAACCTGACAATTATACTGTAACATTATGTTTTAATATTTATTTGCATTTTTAAATCAGGTATCAAATCAAGGAATTTACATTCCATTGGGACTTCTTCAGTATTATACATATTACCAGCACATCAACTACTTCCACACTCTCACCTATTTAACAGAACTTACGTGATGCAAGAGTGACAGTATTGTTATTACAGAAATTTGCAGTAATGATAAAATGAAAAAACAACCCTGTCTATTTCAATATTTGAATAATTACTACTGACTTCACTGTTGGGAACTTCTGCCACACGTTATGGAGAGCATGCCATAAATATTTTCCACTGCTTAAGATGAAAATTGTTGTAAAAGAAAAGGGAAACAAAATTCATACTAATTCTTCTTTTGAGGAGCAGAATAGATGTTTCCCTTTTGTGGGCCATTTCCAGAGGGTGTAGTAGTTTCATGAATTAAGCATTCATTTGGCACAACATCACCTCCTGTATCAACTTTACTACAGTGATAATAAAGAGCTGATTAAGCCTATATTTAAAATAATGAAATATAATTAAACAGATACATGAAACTTTTAAAAGCCACTTATTTATTCTTCAAAAAGGTGAGCTGGTATCAAAAGTTTCAATGTAGGCTGTGTTGAAATTCAATTGTATTACTTCAGAAATCTTGTTTTAAATGAAAAGTTGAAATACATTAAGGCAGCCTTTTGTTTTAAAATGTCTTCCAGAAATCAACATAATCAGAACTAGAAGGACTATAAGAAACGAATGCAGTAAGGGAGTGTTTGAGAATTTTAGCACTTATTATACCCTTCAAATATCCAATTGTGATGCAAGACAGCAGCTCTGGTGTGTTAGAGGTAATACTTTTGGTTTCATTACTATTCTTATGAGTAATTAGCAGCAAAACATTTGTTTCTCTTCAACAAATTTTTTATGGCTGGTAAAGCCAGAGGCATATTCTAGGCAGATACATGCCAATTCTAAAGCCACATTAACACTACTATTCCTGGATTATATCATCTATCAACAAGTAACTGAACACTTATCAGATATGTGGACCAGCCATTGTTTCAGCACACAAAAATCTGAGAGAGAAAAAGGCACTGTTGCTCCATGGGAGTTTACAACTGGGTTAAAAACAAGGTAACAAAATGTAAAACATTAATATAAGGCACCATTTAAAAATATCTATAGGCATATATGAAATAGAAAAAAAATTCAAGAAAGATGAAGTATGTTTCACTAATTCACTTTACTCAATAACCCCTTTTGCTATTCAACAGGCCACTGTGATGGCATCTTAAAAAAAAAAAAGGAAAACAAAATTATTCATATATTCCTACACGTTTTGAAAAACACATGAGATATACAATATTGAAGCACTTATCATGTTGGCTCCTTTGTTATTAAAATGAAAGAGGCGAAGAGTAGGAAAAAGAAGTACTTTGTTTCTATTCCCTCATGTTTTTGTTGTTACTTCTGTATATAAAACCTCACCGCTTTCCCAATTTTCTGGAGTTGGCATTGTGGAAATCTCAAAGATACTAGTTCTTTCAATTTATTATTTATTACTATAGACATGATTATGGGTCACAGATACAGTCATATCTATGAAAAGAGGCCCAGAGAACTATTATCCTCAAGCAGCCAGTTAAAATAATAAAAAACTGTAATTCTGTGCTCTAAGAATGGGGTAATAATTTTATTTCACTCTATCTCCCTAAAAAAAATTATGAAACTCAGTTTGGATATTTCAGCTATTTGATAGCAAACACACAAAAAAATAGATGCTGAAATACAGATGGGGACACCAAATCTCAGGAAACTGTTCTACAGAAAAGTCATTGCTAAGTATAGTTATTCCATTACTTCTAAATAATACAGAGGTCTTCACTACAGACCAATTCTAAGTATTTTCTTAAATTTTAGGTACATTCCTCTAGATTAAAATGACTATCCAGGCAATTTGTATAAACAAGTTAAAGGCCTCAATAATATCTGAAAGTAAAACATTTTATTCCCTCTTCAATTACCTGATGATTATATACAGGCAACTGATATCCAGTGATGATCTGACCTGGTGAACCTGGATAAGTAGGATACGCCTAAAAGTAAGTTTACAGAAAGAATTAATTAATACGGTAAAACATTTTTTTAAATTAGAAAGAAATATTATTCCCAATATAAAAAAAATGAAAAACTTGAAAATATTTCTTACTTTTCTATATACAACAATGCAGAATTCTAAATGAATGACTTTAGGAAAAAAGAAACATTCTCTGTCAAGTGCTAAGTCCCGTTGGGTGGCGCGGGGGAACAGACAAATTACAAAGTAGTGACCATTTCACCAGGCAAAGTTTACCTTACTGTGTACTTATTCCCACCCAAAAGTTATTTCTTACACTGGTGATAAGGTTCCATTAAGATAGATTTGCTATTTATTTGTCAATATACTTCCAGACAGTTTTGTGTTTGACAGTATTATAGGTTAATATGTAGTTCTCCTATAGATATTATGGTTTTTTTGGTACCTCATTTTGAAAAACTAAGGGGAGTATATAATCCAAAACTGGAGAAGAGGCAGTACAACGTCTTACATATTTCAATAAATACTTATTGTTTGAAAACATATAGGTAGCAGCATACATGAATACACCCGGATTCACCATGTATTGGCTCACTGTGAATGTCAGAAACAAGGAGGGCTGTTTTCCTAGCCATTGTTTAGAGAAGGAAAAAGAAGAGGAGGTATACCCTACATGTTTCAAGTACATGAAAAATGCCAACAAATGAGAGACACTGAAGAACTATTTCACTACTATTTTGTTACTTTATTTTCCATCAAAGAAAATGTCTTTTAAACTAAGACATAAATAAAATGAACTAAGAAGAAAATAAACATTATTTATCACCAGTAAGTGATAGAGTATGTCAAATCTTACTTTAATTATCAAAATTACCAGGATCAGAGAAATCAGATGCCAAAAATTCACAGGATTTATATGTATAGTAAAACACATCAGAAATCTACATATTTCAGAACCAGAATTTATCCAGCAGTTTACATGAGCAGTCATCTGGAAATCACTGCAAGTAAAGAAGAGCTAGATGAACTGCTAACCTTAGAGAACAATAAACTAGGCAGAAACGTAAGAACAGCCGCTTTCAAATATTTTTGCAACTAGTTATAAGTGGGGAAAGCAGCTTGGGTGTTTTAGAGGTAATACTCCTTTTTATTTGTATTCTTATTTAAGAATAATTAACAGCAAAACATTTCCATTTCTCTTCAATTTTTTTTTTTTTTTTTTTTGCGGCTGGTAAAGCCAGAGGCAGATTCTAGGCAGATGCTAATTCTAAAGTAACATTAATACTACCTTTCTTAGATTACTCACTCTATCAACAAGTAACTGAACACTTACTATGTGGACAGCCACTGCTTAAGCACACTAAAACCCGAGAGAGAAAAAGGCACTGTGGTGTCCCTGGGAGATTATAATTGGGTTAAAAAGAAAGCAACAAAACATTAATATGAAGAACCACTTAAAATATTTATAGGCATATATGTTATGGAAAATAATCAAGAAACAACAGGAAGTACACGGTAGACTACTTCACTTTACCAGAGGACAAACTTACCTCCTTTGATCTCCAACAGGCCACTGTGGTGGCATCTTAAAAACAAAAAAAAGGAAACCAAAATTATTCAAATATTCCTACACATTTTCAAAAACACATGAGATACATAATATTGAGGTACTTATGCTGACTCCTTTATTATTATTATAATAAAAGAAACAGAATGGAAAAAAGAAATACTTTATGGTTTTAATCCCTGACACTCGTGTTGCTACTTCCACATATAAAACCTATTTCCTCAATTTTTTGGATTTTGGCATTGTGGAAATCTCAAATATGTTAGTTTTTTGAATTTATTATAATGGATATGATTACTGGTCACAGATACAGTCATATCTATGAAAAGAGAACCAGAGAACAACTATCGTCGTTTTAGCATTTTAGCAGCCTGCTAAAATGAAAATAAATATAATTTGAATTCTGTGCTCTAAGAATTGGGTAATAATTTTATTCACTCTATATCCCTAAAAAATTCATGAAAGTCGGGCTGGATGTTTCATTCAGCTATTCGACAGGAAAGGTGAATACTACATGCTGAAATATAGAAGGACACCAAATCTCAAAAAACTGTTCTACAGAAAAGTTATTGCCAAGTATATTTCTGTCAAAATACTCCATTACGGCTAAGTAATACAGAGGTCTTCATTCTAGACTAATTCTAAATGTTTTCCTAAATTATAGGTATATTTCATGAGTTTAAAATGACAAACTATTCAGGAAATTTGTATAAACAAGTTAATGGCCTCAACAATATCTGAAAGCAAATCACTTTACTCTCTCCTACATTACTTGATAATTATACACAGGCAACTGATATCCAGTGGTGACTGAACTGGTGAATTTGGATAAGTAGGAAATGCCTGAAAATAAAGTTTATAGAAAGAATGAATACGATAAACCATTTTTTTAAAATTAGAAATATCATTGCCAATATCACAACATGAAAAACTTTAAAATATTGTTTTTCTATATACAATAATGCAGAATTCTAAAGGAATGACTGACTTTATGAAGAAAAATATTCTCTGTTAAGTGCTACATTTTGGGTGGGGGAACAAATGACAAAGTAGTGACTATTTCACCAGGCCAAGTTTATTTATACTGTGTACTAATTCACACCCAGAAGTTATTTCTTTCACTGGCAATAATACTCCATTAAGGCCGGGCGCGGTGGCTCAAGCCTGTAATCCCAGCACTTTGGGAGGCCGAGGCGGGTGGATCACGAGGTCAGGAGATCGAGACTATCCTGGCTAACACGGTGAAACCCCGTCTCTACTAAAAATACAAAAAATTAGCCGGGCGAGGTGGCAGGCGCCTGTAGTCTCAGCTACTTGGGAGGCTGAGGCGGGAGAATGGCGTGAACCCGGGAGGCGGAGCTTGCAGTGAGCCGAGATTGCGCCACTGCACTCCAGCCTGGGAGACACAGCGAGACTCCGTCTCAAAAAAAAAAAAAAAAAAAAAAAAAAAAAAAAATACTCCATTAAGACAGATTTCAATGTAAGTTAGATAAATACATTTGCTATTTCCCTGTAAAGATACTTCTAGACTGTTTTGTATTAGACATTATAGGGTAATATTTAGTTTTACAGATGTTATAGCTTTTTCTGTACTTCATTTCGAAAAACTAAGTGCAGTATATAATCCGTAACCAGAGTAGACATAGTACAGTATCTTGTATGTTTCAATAAATACTTCTTGTTTGAAAATATGTAGGTAGTAGCATACATGAATACACCCAGATTCAATAATAGCTCACAGTAAATGTTAGAAACAAGTAGGGCTTTTTTTTCTAGCCTTCGTTCACAGAACGAAAAAGCAACAGAGGTATACCCTACACGTTTCAAGTACATGGAAAACGTCAACAAATAAGAGACACTGAAGAACTATTTCACTACTATTCTGTTACTGTATTTTCCATCAAAGAAAATATCTTTTAAACTAAGACATATATAAAATGAACTAAGTATAAACGTTATTTATCACCAATAAGTGACAGAGTATGTCAAATCCTACTTTAAGTATCAACGTAACCAGGATCAGAGAAATTAGATGCCAGAAACTTATAGGATTTACAGATATATACTAAACCACATGAGAAGTCTACCCATTCCAGAAGCAGAATATACCCAGAAGTCAGCAATTTATATGAGGAGGCATCTGGAAATCACTTAAAATAAAGGATATCTAGATGACTTGCTAACCTTAGAGAAGAATAAAGTAGGCAGACAAAAAGGAGAGCTGCTTTTATTCACTTTAGGAACTGGTTATATGGAGGGAAAGCAGCTCAGGTGATTTAGAGGTAATACTCTTGTTTATTCCTACTCTTATTTAAGAGTAATTAACAGCAAAACATTTCTGTTTCTCTTCAAGAAATTTTTTATTGCTGGTAAAGCCAGACGGAGATTCTAGAGGGATACATATTAATTCTCAAGCCACATTACTACTACCTTTCTTAGATTATATAGTCTATCATCATGTGGACCAGCCATTGCTTAACTACACAAAAACCTGAGAGAGAAAAAGGCACTGTTGCTCCCTCTAGAGTTTATAATTGGGTTAACAAGAAAGTAAAAAAATAAAATAAAATAAAACAACAATATGAAGAACCACTTAAAAATATTTATAGGCATATATGACACAGAAAAAAAGCAAGAATGAACAGGGAGTGTATGTTTGGCTAATTCACTTAACCTCAAGTACAACATAACCCCTTTGCTCCCCAACAGGCCACTGTGGTGGCATCTTAAAAAAAAAAGAAACCAAAACTATTAAATTATTCCTACACATTTTCAAAAACACATGAGACATACAATATTGAAGTACTTATTCTGCTATCTCCTTTTTTTAAAAGAAGTAACAGAATCGAAAAACGTTAAATACTTTGTGTTTCTAGTCCCTGACGTTCTTGTAACTCACATACATGAAACCTCCCATTTTTCCCAATTTTCTGGAGTTGGCGCTGTGGAAATCTCAAAGATACTAGTTCTTTCTGTTAATTACCATAGATATAATTATGGGTCATAGATAGTCATATCTATAAACAGAGATCCAGAGAACTACCATCATGAAACAGCCAACTAAAATAAAAATATAATTGGAATGCTGTGCTCCAAAAAGCGGGTGGTAATTTCATTTCACTCTATCTCCCTAAAAAATTCATGAAAGTCAGTATGGATATTTCATCCAGCTATTTGACAGTAATGATGAAAACCACATTCTGATATAAAGAAGGGGACACCAAATCTCAGAAAACAGTTCTACAGAAAAGTTATTGCCAAGTATATTCCTGTCAAAACATTACTCCATTACTTCTAAATAATACAGAGGTCTTCATTCCAGACTAATGCCAAGTGTTTCTTAAATTTTATGCACACTTCACTAGTTTAAAATGACCAACTATTCAGGCAATTTGTATAAACAAGTTAAAGGCCTCAATAATATCTGAAAGCAAATCATTTTACTCCCTCTTACGTTACCTGATAATTATATACAGGCAACTGATGTCCAGTGATGACCTGAACTGGTGGATCTGGATAAGTAGGATATGCCTGAAAATCAATTACACAGAAAGAATGAATTAACATGGTAAATCATTTTTTTTAATTAGAAAGAAATATCAATCCCAACATAACAAAAATATGAAAAATTTGAAATACTAGTTATTTTTCTATGTACAACAATGCAGAATTGTAAATGATTGACTGATGAAGAAAGAAATATTTTCTGTCAAGTTCTACCCTTGGGTGTGGAGGGGGAACAGTCAAATGACAAAAGAGTTGAGTATTTCACCAGGGTAAGTTTGCTTTACTTATACTGTGTCCTTATGTCTACTCAGAAATTATTTCTTACACTGATGATAAGGCTGTAATAAGACAGATTTCAGTTTAAGTTAAATTAATACATTTGCTATTTGCCTGTAAAAATACTTCTAGACTGTTTTGTATTTGACAATATTATAGGGTAATATGTAGTTCTAGAGATGTTACAGCTTTTTCTGTACTTCATTTCGAAAAACTAAGTGCAGTATACAATCTAATACTGGAAAAGAGACAGTATAATGTCTTCTATGTTTCAATAAATACTTACTGTTTGAAAACATATAGGTAGCAGCACACATGAATACACCCAGATTCAAAAATGGCTCATAGTAAATGTTAGAAACAAGTAGGGCCTCTTTTCTAGCCATTGTTCAGAGAAGGAAAAAGAAGAAGAGGTATACCCTACACGTTTCAAGTACGTGAACTGTCAACAAGTGAGACACACCAAGAACTATTTCACTACTATTGTGTTACTTTATTTTCCATCACAGAAAATGTCTTCTAAACTAGGACATAAATAAAACGAACTATGAAGAAAATAAACATTATTTATCACCAATAAGTGATAAGAGTATGTTAAATCCTTCTTTAAATAGCAAAGTAACAGGGATCAGGGAAATTAGATGCCAGAAAATCATGGGATTTATAGATATGTTAAACCATATCAGAAATCTACCCATTCCAGAACCAGAATATATCCAGAAGTCAGCAATTTACATTAGGAAGCATCTGGAAATCATTTCACATAAAGAATAGCTAGATGAATTGCTAAACTTAGAGAAGAATAAAGTAGGCAGACAGACCATAAGGAGAGCTGCTTTCAAATACTTTAGGAACTAGTTATTTGGGGAAAAGCAACGCGGTTGTTCCAGAGGTAATACACTTTTTAATCCTTATTTAAGAGTAATTAACAGAAAAACATTGCAAATTTCTTTATCAAATTTTTTATGGTTGGTAAATCCAGATGCAGATTCTAATCAGATACATGTTATTCTAAAGCCAAATTAATACTACCTTTCTTTGATAAAGGCACATTAGGTCTACCTTTCTTTGATTATACAGTCTATCAACAAGTAACTGAACACTTATCATTATGTGGATAAGCCATTGCTTAAGCACACAAAATCCTGAGAGAATAAGGCACTGTTGCTCCCATGGGAGTTTACAGTTGGGTTAAAATTGTAACACATTAATATAAAGAACTATTTAAAAAAATTAATAGGCATATGTGACATGGAAAAAAATCAAAAAAGAAGAGGAAGTATACATTTCACTAATTTGCTTTACCAGAGGTACAACATAACTCCTTTGCTCCCCAACAGGCCAACGTAGTGGAATCTTAAAAAAAAAAAAAAAAGGAAACCAAAGTTATTCAAATATTCCTACACATTTTCAAAAACACATCAGATACCTAATATTTAAGTACTTATCGTGATGGCTCCTTTGTTATTATAAGAAAAGAAACAGAATGGAAAAAAGAAGTACTTTAGATGTCTAATCCTGACATCCTTGTTGTCACTTCTATAAATAAAACCTCGTGGTTTTTCCAAATTTTCTGGAGACGACATTATGGAACTCTCAAAGATATGAGTTCTTTGAATTTATTACCACATACATGATTGTATGTCACAGATATATTTGTATCGTTGAAAAGAGACCCAGAGAACTACTATCATGAAGCAAAAAGCTAAAATAAAAATATGATTAGAATTATGTGCTACAAGAATTAGGTAATAAACTTGATTTCACTGTATCTCCCTAAAAAATTGAAGAAAATCAGTCTGGATATTTCAGCCCTTTGACAGAAAAGATGAAAAAATACATGCTGAAATAAAGAGTGGAACACCAAATCTCAGAAAACTGTTTTACGAAAAGTTATTGCCAAGTATATTCCTGTCAAAATATTATTTCCTCACTTCTAAATAATACAGAGGTCTTCATTACACTTATTCAAAGTGTTTTCTTAAATTTCAAGTACATTTCACTAGTTTAAAATTACAAAATATTCAGGCAATTTGTATAAACAACTTGAAGGCCTACATAGTATCTGAAACTAAAACATTTTGCACTCTCTTCAGTTAGTTACCTGATAATTATATACAGGCAAGTGATATCCAGTGATGACCTGCCATGATGAATTTCGGTAAGTAGGATATGCCTGAAAATAAATTTCACAGAAAGAAAGAATGAATATGGTAAAACATTCTTTTAATTAGAAAGAAATATCATTTCCAATATAACAAAAATATGAACTTTAAAATATTAATTATTTTTCTATTAACAACTATGAAGAATTCTAAATGAATGAATGTCATTAAGAAGAAAGAAACATTCTCTGTCAATTGCTACCCTTTGGGAGAGAGGGAGAACAAATGACATAGAAGTGACTACTACACCAGGTAAAGTTTACCTTATTCATAGTGTATACCTCAACCCACTCAGAAGTTATTTCTTATACTGGTGATAAGGCTCTATTAAGACAATTTCAATGTAACTTAAATTAATACATTTGCTACTTCTTTGTCAAAATACTTCTAGACTGTTTTGTATTTGACAATATTATAGGACAATATGAAGTTCTTCTACAGATGTTATGGCATTTTCTGTATTTCATTTGGAAAAACTAACGTCAGTATATAATCCAAAAGTGAAAAGAGACAGTATAATGTCTTCTATGTTTCAATAAATACTTACTGATTGAAAACATATAGGTAGCAGCATACTTGAATACACCTAATTCATTAATGGCTCACACAGAATGTGAGCAACAAGTAGGGCTTTTTTTCTAGTCATCGTTCAGAGAAGGCAAAAAAAAGCAGAGGTATACCCCTACATTATTCCATTACATGGAAAATGTCAACACGTAAGACACTGAAGAACTATTTCACTACTATTTTGTTACTTATTTTCCATCAAAGAAAATGTCTTTTAAACTAAGACATAATAAAATGAACTAAGAAGAAACTAAACGTTATTTACCGCCAGTAAGTGACAGAGTATGTCAAACCCTTCTTTAAATATCAAAGTAGCCAGGATGAGAGAAATTAGATGCCAGAAACTCATGGGATTTATAGATACAGTAAAACACATCAGAAATCTACCCATTCCAGAACCACAATATATCCAGAATTCAGCAACCTATATGAGGAGGCATCTGGAAATCATCTCAAGTAAAGAATAACTAGGTGAATTGTAAACTCAGAGAAGAATAAACTAGGCAGACGCATAAGGATAGCTGCTTCCAAATATTTTTGGAATTAGCTACATGGGAGGAAAGCAGTTCAGATGTTTTAGAGGTAATACTCTTATTTTTTGTTCCTATTCTTATATATGAGTAATTAATAACAAAATATTTCTGTTTCAGTTCAACAAAATTTTTTTTTATGGCTCATAAAGTCAGAGGGAGATCCCAGGCAGATACATGCTCATTCTAAAGCCACATTAATACTACCTTTCTTGGATTATATAGTCCATCAACAAGTAACTGAACACTGATCATTATGTGGACCAGCCATTGCTGAAGCATCCAAAACCCAGAGAGAGAGAAAGGCACTGTTGCTCCCATGGGAGTTTATAATTGGGTTAAAAAAAAAGTAACAAAACATAACACATTAATATAAAGAAGGAATTTTTTTTTTTTTTAAGACAGATTCTCACTCTATCACCCAGACTGGAGTGCAGTGGTGCCATCTTGGCTCACTGTAAGCTGTGCCTCCTGGGTTCACACCATTCTCCCACGTCGGCCTCTGGAGTAGCTGGGACTACAGGTGCCCACCACCACTCTCACCTAAATTGGTGTTTGTATTTTCAGTACAGACGGGGATTCACAGGGTTAGCCAGGAAGGTCTCGATCTCCTGAACTTGTGATCTGCCCAACTAATGATTTAAAAACACTGGTAGGGCACATATGACATGGAAAAAAATCAAGAAGGAATAGGGAATATATGTCTGACTAATTCACCTTACCAGAGGTACAGTGTAATTCCTGGGCTCCCCAACAGGCCACTGTGGTGGCATCTTGATAAAACAAAAAGGAAACCAAAATTATTTAAACATTCCTATACATTTTCAAAAACGCATGAGATACACAATATTGAGGTACTTATCATGCCAGATCATTTGTTATCATAATAAAAGGAACACAATACAAAAAAGAAGTACTTTAGGGTTTCGAATCCCCGAAGTTCTTGTTATTTCTACATATAATACCTCACCCTTTACCTAAATTTTCTGGAGATGTCATTGTGGAAATCTCAGAGATACTAGTTCTTTCAATTTATTACAATAGATATGGAAATGGGACATGGATATAGTCATATCTACGAAAAGAGACCCAGGGAACTACTATCACGAAGCAGCAAGCTAAAATAAATATATAATTGGAATTCTATGATCTAAGAATTGGTTAATAATTTAATTTCACTCTGTATCTCTACAAAATTCATGGAAGTCACTCTGGATGTTTCAACTCTTTGATAGTAAGGATGAAAAAAAAATACATGCTGCAGTACAGAAGCGGACACTAAGTCTCCAAAAAATGTTCTACAGAAATGATATTGCTTCGTGTATTTATGTCAAAATTCATTGCACTGCTTCAAAATAATACAGAAGTCTTCATTGAAGACCAATTCTAAGTGTTTTCTTAAATTTATGTACATTTCACTAGTTTAAAATGACAAAATATTCAGGCAATTTGTATAAACAATTTAAAGGCCTACATAGTATCTGAAAGTAAAAGATTTTAGTCTCTCTTCAATTACCGCATAATAATATACAGGAAAGTGATATCCAGTGATGACCTGACATGGTGAATTTCGGTAAGTAGGATATGCCTGAAAATAAATTTCACAGAAAGAATGAATGAATATGGTAAAACATTCTTTTAATCAGAAAGAAATATCATTCCCAATACAACAAAAATATGAACAACTTTAAAATATTAATTATTTCTCTATACACAACCATGAAGAATTCTAAATGAATGACTGTTGTTAAGAAGAAAGAAACATTCTTGGTCAATAGCTACCCTTTGGGAGGAGAAGGAGAATGAATGACAAAAGAAGTGACTACTATACCAGGCAAAGTTTACCTTATTCATAGTGTGTACCTCTGCCCACCCAGAAGTTATTTCTTATACTGGTGATAAGGCGCTATTAAGACAGATTTCAATGTAAATTAAATTAATACATTTGCTATTTCTCTGTCAAAATACTTCTAGACTGTTTTGTATTTGACAATATTATAGGGTAATATGAAGTTCTCCTACAGATGTTATGGCATTTTCTGTACTTCATTTTGAAAAACTAACGTCAGTACATAATCCAAAACGGGTAAGAGACAGTACAATGTCTTCTGCGTTTCAATAAATACTTATTGATTGAAATCATACAGGTAGCAGCATACATCAATACACCTAGAATCAGTAATGGCTCACATGGAATGTGAACAACAAGTAGGGCTTTTTTTCTAGTCATTGTTCAGAGAAGGCAACAAAAGCAAAGGTATACCCTTACATTATTCAAGTACATGGAAAATGTCAACAAATGAATACTGAGGAACTATTTCACCACTCTTTTGTTACTTATTTTTCATCAAAGAAAATGTCTTTTAAACTAAGACCTACATAAAAAGAACTAAGAAGAAAATAAATGTTATTTATCACCAGTAAGTGATAGATACTTTCTTGGATAATATAGTCCATCAACTATATAAAGAAGGCAAATCCTTCTTTAAATATCACAGTAGCCAGGATGAGAGAAATTAGATGCCAGAAACTCATGGGCTTTATAGATACAGTAAAACACATCAGAAATCTACCCATTCCAGAACCAGTATATATCCAGAATTCAGCAATCTATATGAGGAGGTATCTGGAAATCATTTCAAGTATAGAATACCCAGATGAACTGTAACCTCAGAAAGAATAAACTAGGCAGACGAACAAGGACAGCTGCTTTCAAATATTTTTGGAACAGGCTACATGGGGGCAAGGCAGTTCAGATGTTTTAGAGGTAATACTCTTATTTTGTTGTTCCTATTCTTATTTAAGAGTAATTAACAACAAAATATTTCTGTTTCACTTCAACAATTTTTTTTTACGGCTGGTAAAGTCAGAGGCAAATCCCAGGCAGATACATGCTCATTCTAAAGGCATATTAATATTACCTTTCTTGGATTATATAGTCTATCAACAAGTAACTGAACACTGATCATTATGTGGACCAGCCATTGCTGAAGAACCCAAAACTCAGAGAGAGAAAAAGGCACTGTTGCTCTCATGGGAGTTTATAATTGGGTTAAAAACAAAGTAACAAAACATAACACATTAATATAAAGAAGGATTTTTTTTTTTTTGAGACAGAGTCTCACTTGCAACCAGACTGGAGTGCAGTGGTGCCATCTTGGGTCCCTATAAGCTGTGCGTCCTGGGTTCACACCATTCTCACACCTCAGCCTCCGGAGTAGCTGGGACTACAGGGGCCTACGACCACAAGCACTTAATTGGTGTTTGTATTTTTAGTAGAGATGGGGATTCAAGTGTTAGCCAGGAAGGTCTCGATCTCCTGACCTTGTGATCTGCCCAAAAATGATTTAAAAACATTTGTAGGGCATATACGACACGGAAAAAAAATCAAGAAGAACAGGGAGTGTATGTCTGGCTCATTCACTTTACCAGAGGTACTGCATAACTCCTGGGCTCCCCAACAGGCCACTGTGGTGGTATCTTGGAAAAATAGAAAAGAAACCAAAATTACACAAATATTCCTATACATTTTCAAAAACACATGAGATACACAACATTGGTATACTTATCATGCCAGATCATTTGTTATCATAATAAAAGGAACACAATAGAAAAAGAAGTACTTTAGGTTTCGAATCCCCGAAGTTCTTGTTGTTATTTCTACATATAATACCTCACATTTTACCTAAATTTTCTGGACATGGCATCATGTAAATCTCAAAGACACTAGTTCTTTCAATTTATTACAATAGATATGGTAATGGGTCATAGATATAGTCATATCTATGAAAAGAGACCCAGAGAAATACTATCATGAAGCAGCAAGCTAAAATTAAAATATAATTGGAATTCTGTGATCTAAGAATTGGGTAATAATTTTATTTCACTCTATATCTCTACAAAATTCATGGAAGTCACTCTGGATGTTTCAGCTCTCTGATGGCAAAGATGAAAAAAAAAATAAATGCCGCAGTACAGAAGTGGACACCAAATCCCTGAAAACTGTTCTACAGAAATTATATTGCTTTGTATATTTATGTCAAAATTCATTGCATTGCTTCAAAATAATACAGAAGTCTTCATTGAAGACCAATTCTAAGTGTTTTCTTAAATTTATGTACATTTCACTAGTTTAAAATGACAAAATATTCAGGCAATTTGTATAAACAATTTAAAGGCCTACATAGTATCTGAAAGTAAAAGATTTTAGTTTCTCTTCAATTACCGCATAATAATATACAGGAAAGTGATATCCACCAGTGATGACCTGACATGGTGAATTTCGGTAAATGGGATATGCCTGAAAATAAATTTCACAGAAAGAATGAATGAATATGGTAAAACATTCTTTTAATTAGAAAGAAGTATCATTCCCCTATAACAAAAATATGAACAATTAAAAAATATTATTTTTCTACACGCAACTATGAAGAATTCTAAATGAATGACTGTCTTTAAGAAGAAACAAACATTCTCTGTCAATTGCTACCCTTTCTGAGGGGAGGGAGAACAATTGACGTAAGAAGTGACTACTACACCAGGTAAAGTTTACCTTATTCATACAGTGTACCACCTTTGCCCACCCAGAAGTTATTTCTTACACTGGTGATAAGGCTCTATTAAGACAATTTCAATGTAACTTAAATTAATACATTTGCTACTTCTTTGTCAAAATATTTCTAGACTGTTTTGTATTTGACAATATTATAGGACAATATGAAGTTCTCCTACAGACATTATGGCTTTTTCTGTATTTCATTTGGAAAAACTAAGGGCAGTATATAATCCAAAACTGAAAAGAGACAGTATAATGTCCTTCATGCTTCAATAAATACTTAATGATTGAAAACATATATAGCAGCATACTTGAATACACCTAGATTCATTAATGGCTCACACGGAATGTGGGAAACAAGTAGGGCTTTTTTTCTAGCCATCATTCAGAGAAGGCAACAAAAGCAGAGGTATACCCCTACATTATTCAAGTACATGGAAAATGTCAACAAATGAGACACTGAAGAACTATTTCACTACTATTTTGTTACTTATTTTCCATCAAAGAAAATGTCTTTTAAACTAAGACATGAATAAAATGAACTAAGAAGAAACTAAACGTTATTTACCGCCAGTAAGTGAGAGAGTATGTCAAACCCTTCTTTAAATTTCAAAGTAGCCAGAATGAGAGAAATTAAATGCCAGAAACTCATGGGATTTATAGATACAGTAAAACACATCAGAAATCTACCCAATCCAGAACCACAATATATCCAGAATTCAGTAACCGATATGAGGAGGCATCTGGAAATCATCTCAAGTAAAGAATAGCTAGGTGAACTGTAAACTCAGAGAAGAATAGACTAAGCAGACAAATAAGGACAGCTGCTTTCAAATATTTTTGGAACTAGCTACATGGGTGCAAAGCAGTACAGATGTTTTAGAACTTAATACTCTTTTTATTGTTCCTATTCTTATTTAAGAGTAATTAACAACAAAACATTTCTGTTTCTCCAAGAAATTTTTTTTTTACAGCTGGTAAAGTCAGAGGCAGATTCCAGGCAGATACATGCTCATTCTAAAGCCACATTAATATTACCTTTCCTGTATTACATAGTCTATCAACAAGTAACTGAACACTGATCATTATGTGGACCAGCCATTGCTGAAGCACTCAAAAGCCAGAGAGGCAAAAAGGCACTGTTGATCCCATGGGAGTTTATAACTGGGTTAAAAACAAAGTAACAAAGCATAACACAAAAAATAATGAAGAATTTTTTTTTCTTTTTTTGAGAAGAGTCTCACTCTGCAACCCAGACTGGAGTGCAGTGGTGCCATCTTGGCTCCCTATAAGCTATGCCTCCTGGGTTCACACCATTCTCTGGTCTCAGCCTCCCGAGTAGCTGGGACTACAGGTGCCCACCACAATGCCCAGCTAAATTTGTGTTCCTATTTTTAGTAGAGACGGGGTTTCACCGTGTTAGCCAGGAAGGTCTTGATCTCCTGACCTTGTGATCTGCCCACCTAAAGAATGATTTAAAAATATCTGTAGGCATATATGACATGGAAAAAATCAAGAAAGAACAGGGAGTAAATGTTTGGCTCTTTCACTTTACCAGAGGTACTGCATAACTCCTGGGCTCCCCAACAAGCCACTGTGGTGGCATCTTGAAAATAAAGAAAGGAAACCAAAATTATTCAAATATTCCAATACATTTGGAAAAACAGATGATATATACAATATTGAGGTACTTATGCTGGCTCCTTTGTTATTATAATAAAAGAAACAAAATAGACAAAAGAAGTACTTTAGGTTTCGAATCCCCGAAGTTCTTGTTATTATTTCTACACACGATAAGTCACCTTTTAGCCAAATTTTCTGGAGGTGGAAATCTCAAAGATACTAGTTCCTTGAATTTAGTAACGTAGATATGGTAATGGATCATAGATATAGGTATATCTATGGAAAGAGACCCACAGAACTACTATCATGAAGCAGCAAGCTAAAATAAAAATATAATTGGAATTCTGTGATCTAAGAATTGGATAATAATTTTATTTCACTCTGTATCTCTACAAAATTCACGGAAGTCAGTCTGGATGTTACAGCTCTTTGATGGCAATGATAAAATAAAAAAGTACATGATACCATAGAGAAGCGGACACCAAATCTCCAAAAACTGCTCTATAGAAATGATATTGCTTCGTATATTCCAGTCAAAATTTATTCCATTGCTTCAAAATCATACAGAGGTCTTCATTCTAGACCAATTCTAAGTGTTTTCTTAAATTTTACGTACATTCACTACTTTAAACTGACAAAATATTCAGGCAATTCGTATAAACAATTTAAAGGCCTACATAGTATCACAAAGTAAAACCTTTCGCTCCCTCTTCAATTACCTGATAATTATATACAGGCAACTGATATCCAGTGATGACATGACACAGTGAATTTCGGTAAATAGGATATGCCTGAAAATAAATTTCACAGAATGAATGAACGAATATGGTAAAACATTCTTTTAATTAGAAAGAAATATCATTCCCAATATAACAATAATATGAACAACTTTAAAATATTAATTATTTTTCTACATACAACAATGAAGTGTTCTAAATGAATTACTGTCTTTAAGAAGAAAAGAAATATTCCCTGTCAATTGCTACCCTTTCAGAGGGGAGGGAGAACAAATGACATAAGAGGTGACTATTACACCAGGCGAAGTTTAACTTATACATACTGCCCACTCAGAAGTTATTTCTTATACTGGTGATAAGGCTCTATTAACACAGATTTCAGTATAAGTTAAATTAATATATTTGCTATTTCTTTGTCAAAATACTTCTAGACTGTTTTGTATTTGACAATATTATAGGGTAACATGAAGTTCTCCTACAGATGTTATGGCTTTTTCTGGACTTCATTTTGAAAAACTAAGCGCAGTATATAATCCAAAACTGGAAAGTGACAGGATAATGTCTTCTATGTTTCAATAAATACTAATGATTGACAACATATAGGTAGCAGCATACATGAATACACCCAGATTCATTAATGGCTCATACATAATGTGAGCAACAAGTAGGGCTTTTTTTCTAGTCATTGTTCACAGAAGGCGAATAAAGCAGAGGTATACCCCTACATTATTCAAGTAAATGGAAAATGTCGACAAGTGAGACACTGAGGAACTATTTCATTACTATTTTGTTACTTATTTTTCATCAAAGCAAATGTCTTTTAAACAAAGACAGTAAGTAAAATGAACTAAGATGAAAATAAATGTTATTTATCACCAGTAAGTGATAGAGTATGTCAAATCATTCTTTAAATATCAAAGTGCCAGGATGAGTGAAATTAGATGCCAGAAACTCATAAGATTTACAGATATAGTAAAACACATCAGAAATCCACCCATTCCTGATCCACAATATATCCAGAATTCAGTAACCTACATTAGGAGGCATCTGGAAATCATCTCAAGTAAAGAATAGCTAGGTGAATTGCTGACCTCAGAGAAGAATAAACTAGGCACACACATAAGGACAGCTGCTTTCAAATATTTTTGGAACTACCTACATGGGGGCAAAGCAGTTCAGATGTATTAGAAGTAGTAACTTTTTTTTTTGTTCCTATTCTTTATTAAGAGTAACTAATGACAAAACATTTCTGTTTCTCTTCAAGAAATTTCTTTTACGGCTGGTAAAGTCAGAGGCAGATTCCAGGCAGATACATGCTCATTCTAAAGCCACATTAATACTACCTTTCCTGTATTACATAGTCTATCAACAAGTAACTGAACACTGATCATTATGTGGACCAGCCATTGCTGAAGCACCCAAAACCCAGAGAGACAAAAAGGCACTGTTGATCCCATGGGAGTTTATAATTGGGTTAAAAACAAAGTAACAAAACATAATACAGTAATATAATGAAAGATTTTGTTCTTGTTGTTTCTTGAGACAGAGTCTCACTATGTCACCCAGACTGGAGTGCAGTGGTGCCATCTTGGCTCCCTATAAGCTATGCCTCCTGGGTCCAAACCATTCTCTGGTCTCAGCCTCCCGAGTAGCTGGGACTACAGGTGCCCACCACAATGCCCAGCTAAATTTGTGTTCATATTTTTAGTAGAGACAGGGTTTCACCGTGTTAGCCAGAAAGGTCTCGATCTACTGACCTTGCGATCTGCCCACCTAAAGTATGATTTAAAAATATTTGTAAGGCATATAGGACATGGAAAAAATCAAGGAAGAACAGGGAGTGTATGTCTGGCTCATTCACTTTACCAGAGGTACTGCATAACTCCTGGGCTCCCCAACAAGCCACTGTGGTGGCATCTTGAAAATAAAGAAAGGAAACCAAAATTATTCAAATATTCCAATACATTTGCAAAAACAAATGATACACACAACATTGAGGTACTTATGCTGGCTCCTTTGTTATTATAATAAAAGAAACACAATAGACAAAAGAAGTGCTTTAAGTTTCAAATCCCCGAAATTCGTGTTATTTCTACATATAATATGTCATCTTTTACCCAAATTTTCTGGAGGTGGAAATCTCAAAGATATTAGTTCTTTGAATTTATTACGATAGATAGGGTAATGGGTCACAAATATAGTCATATCCATCAAAAGAGAGCCAGAGAACTACTATCATGAAGCAGCAAGCTAAAATAAAAATATAGTTGGAATTCTGTGATCTAAGAATTGGGTAATAATTTTATTTCACTCTGTAGATCTACAAAATTTATGGAAGTCAGTCTGGATGTTTCAACTCTTGACGGCAAGAAGAAAAAAAAAATACATGCTGCAATACAGAAGCGGACACCAAGTCTCCGAAAACTGTACTACAGAAATGATATTGCCTCATACATTCCAGTCAAAATTTATTCTATTGCTCCAAAATCATACAGAGGTCTTCATTCTAGACTAATTCTAAGTGTTTTCTTAAATTTTACGTACATTTCATTACTTTAAACTGACAAAATACTCAGGCAATCTGTATAAACAATTTAAAGGCCTACATAGTATCGGAAAGTAAAACACTTTGCTCCCTCTTCAATTACCTGATAATTATATACAGGCAACTGATATGCAGTGATGACCTGACATGGTGAATTTCGGTAAGTAGGATATGACTGAAACTAAATTTCACAGAACGAATGAATGAATATGGTAAAACACTCATTTAATTAGAAAGAAATATCATTCCCAATATAACAAAAATATGAACAACTTTAAAATATTAATTATTTTTCTATATATAACAATGAAGAGTTCTAAATGAATGACTGTCTTTAAGAAGAAACATTCTCTGTCAATTGCTGCCCTTTGGGAGGGGAGAGAGAACAAATGACATAAGAAGTCACTATTACACCCAGCAAAGTTTACCTTATACATACTGCCTACCCAGAAGTTATTTCTTATACTGGTGATAAGGCTCTATTAAGACAGATTTCTATGTACATTAAATTAATACATTTGCTATTTCTTTGTCAAAACACTTCTAGATTGTTTTGTATTTGACAATATTATAGGATAATATGAAGTTCTCCTACAGATGTTATGGCTTTTACTGTGCTTCATTTTGAAAAACTAAGGGCAGTATATAATCCAAAATTGGAAAAGAGACAGATAATGTCTTCTATGTTTCAATAAATACTTAATGATTAAAAACATACAGGTAGCAGCATACTTGAATACACCCAGATTCAGTAATAGCTCACATGGAATGTTAGCAACAAGTAGGGCTTTTTTCTAGTCACCGTTCAGAGAAGGCAACAAAAGCAGAGGTATACCCCTACATTATTCAAGTATATGGAAAATGTCAACAAAAGAGACACTGAAAAACTATTTCACTATATTTTGTTACTTATTTTCCATCAAAGAAAATGTCTTTTAAACTAAGACATTAATAAAATAAACTAAGAAGAAAATAAATGTTATTTACCACCAGTAAGTGATAGAGTATGTCAAATCCTTCTTCAAATATCAAAGTAGCCAGGATGAGAGAAATTAGAGGCCAGAAACTCATGGGATTTATAGATACAGTAAAACACATCGGAAATCTACCCATTCCAGAACCACAATACATCCAGAATTCAGCAACCTATATGAGGAGGAATCTGGAAATCATCTCAAGTAAAGAATAGCTAGGTGAATTGCTAACCTCAGAGAAGAATAAACTAGGCAGACACAGAAGGACAGCTGCTTTCAAATATTTTTGGAACTAGCTACATGGGGGCAAAGCGGTACAGATGTATTAGAAGTAATACTTCTTTTTTTGTTCCTATTCTTTTTTAAGAGTAATTAACAACAAAACATTTCTGTTTCTCTTCAAATTTTTTTATCGCTGGTAAAGTCAGAGGCAGATTCCAGGCACCATGCTCATTTTAATGCCACAATAATACTACATTTCCTGGATTATATAGTCTATCGAAAAGTTACTGAACGCTGATCAGTATGTGGACCAGCCATTGCTTAAGCACCCAAAAGCCAGAGAGAGAAAAAGGCACTGTCACTCCCGTGGAAGATTATAATTGGGTTAAAAACAAAGAAACAAAACATAACACATTAATATAAAGAAGAATTTTTTTTTTTTTGAGACAAAGTCACCCTCTGTCAACCAGACTGGAGTGCAGACATGCCATCCTGGCTCATTGTAAGCTGTGCCTTCTGGATTCACACGATTCTCCTACCTCAGCCTCCCAAGTAGCTGGGACTACAGATGTCCCCTACAATGCCCAGCTAAATTGGTATTTGTATTTTTAGAAGAGATGGCGTTTCACTGTGCTAGTCAGGAAGGTCTCAATCTCCTGACCTTGTGATCTGCCCATCTAAAAGATTTAAAAACATATGTAGGGCATATGATGTGGAAAAAATCAAGAAAGAAAAGGGAGTATATGTTTGGCTCATTCACTTTACCAGAGGTACTGCGTAACTCCTGGGCTCCCCAACAGGCCACTGTGGTGGCATCTTGAAAAAACAAGGAGGAAACCAAAATTATTCAAATATTCCTATACATTTTTAAAAACACATGATACACACCATATTGAGGTACTTTTCATGCCGGATCCTCAGTTATCACAATAAAAGAAACACAATAGACAAAAGAAGTATTTTAGGTTTCAAATCCCCGAAGTTCTTGTTTTTTCTACATATAATACCTCACCTTTTACTCAAATATTCTGGAGATGTCATTGTGGAAATCTCAAAGATACTCGTTCTTTGAATTTAGTATGATAGATAGGGTAATGGGTCACAAATATAGTCATATCCATGAAAAGAGAGCCAGAGAACTACTATCATGAAGCAGCAAGCTAAAATTAAAATATAATTGGAATTCTGTGATCTAAGAATTGGGTAATAATTTTATTTCACTCTATAAAATTCATGAAAGTCAGTTTGGATGTTTCAGCTCTTTGACGGCAAAGATGAAAAAAAAAATACATGCTGCAATACAGAAGCAGACACCAAACCTCCGAAAAATGTTCTACAGAAATGATACTGCTTCATATATTCCTGTCAAAATACATTCCATTGTTTCAAAATAATACAGAGCTCTTCATTCCAGAGCAATACTAAGTGTTTTCTTAAAATTATATACATTTCACTAGTTTAAAATGACAAAATATTCAGGCAATCTGTACAAATTAAAGGACTACATAGTATGTGAAAGTAAAAAATTTTGCTCCCTCTTCAGTTACCTGGTAATTATATACAGGCAACTGATATCCAGTGATGACCTGACATGGTGAATTTCGGTAAGTAGGATATGCCTGAAAATAAATTTCACAGAAAGAATGAATGAATACGTTAAAATATTCTTTTAATTAGAAAGAAGTATCATTCCCCTATAACAAAAATATGAACGACTTTAAATATTATTTTTCTATATACGACTAGGAAGATTTCTAAAGGAATGACTGTCTTTAAGAAGAAAGAAACATTCTCTGTCAATTGCTACCCTCTGGGAGGGGTGGGAGAACAAATGACATAAGAAGTCACTATTACACCAGGCAAAGTTTACCTTATTCATAGTGTGTACCTCTGCCCACCCAGAAGTTATTTCTTATACTGGTGATAAGGCTCTATTAAGACAGATTTCAATATAAGTTAAATTAATACATTTGCTATTTCTTTGTCAAAATACTTCTAGACTGTTTTGTATTTGACAACATTATAGGGTAATAATATGAAGTTCTCTTACAGATGTATGGCTTTTTCAGTACTTCATTTTGAAAAACTAAGGGCAGTATATAATCCCAAACTAGAAAAGTGACAGTATAATATCTTCTATGTTTCAGTAAATACTTAATGATGAAAACATATAGGTAGCAGCATACTTGAATACACCCAGATTCAGTAATGGCTCATACGAAATGTTAGCAACAACAAGGGCTCTTTTTCTAGTCATCATTAAGAGAAGGCGAAAAAAGCAGCGGTATACCCCCACATTATTAAAGTACATGGAAAATGTTAACAAATGAGACACTGAAGAACTATTTCACTATATTTTGTTACTAATTTTCCATCAAAGAAAATGTCTTTTAAACTAAGACATAAGTAAAATGAACTAAGATGAAAATAAATGTTAGTTACCACCAGTAAGTGATAGAGTATGTCAAATCCTTCTTTAAATATCAAAGTAGACAGGATGAGAGACATTAGAGGCCAGAAACTCATGGGATTTATAGATACAGTAAAACACATCGGAAATCTACCCATTCCAGAACCACAATACATCCAGAATTCAGTAACCTACATTAGGAGGCATCTGGAAATCATCTCAAGTAAAGAATAGCTAGGTGAATTGCTAACCTCAGAGAAGAATAAACTAGGCAGACACAGAAGGACAGCTGCTTTCAAATATTTTTAGAACTAGCTACATGGGGGCAAAGCAGTTCAGATGCATTAGAAGTAGTAACTTTTTTAAATTCCTATTCTTTTTTAAGAGTAACTAATGACAAAACATTTCTGTTTCTCTTCAAGAAATTTTTTTATGGTTGGTAAAGTCAGCGGCAGATTCCAGGCAGATACATGCTCATTCTAAAGCCACATTAATATTACTTTTCCTGGATTTTATACTCTATCAACAAGTAACTGAACATTGATTATTATGTGGACCAGCCATTGCTGAAGCACCCAAAACCCAGAGAGAGAAAAAGGCACTGTTGCTCCCATGAGAGTTTATAATTGGGTTAAAAACAAAGCAAAAAAACATAATACAGTAATATAATGAAGGATTTTTGTTGTTGTTGTTTCTTTTTTTGAGACAGAATCTCACTCTGTCACCCAGACTGGAGTGCAGTGGTGCCATCCTGGCTCACTGTAAGCTGTGCCTCCTGGGTTCACACCATTCTCCGGCCTCAGCCTCCTGAGTAGCTGGGACTACAGGTGCCCACCACAATGCCCAGCTAAATTTGTGTTCATATTTTTAGTAGAGACGGGGTTTCACCGTGTTAGCCAGGAAGGTCTCAATCTCCTGACCTTGTGATCTGCCCACCTAAAAATGATTTAAAATATTTGTAGGGCATATATGACATGGAAAAAATCAAGAAAGAAAAGGGAGTATATGTTTGGCTCTTTCACTTTACCAGAGGTACTGCATAACTCCAAGGCTCCCCAACAGGCCACTGTGGTGGCATCTTGAAAAAACAGAAAGGAAACCAAAATTATTCAAATATTCCAATACATTTGGAAAAACAGATGATATACACAACATTGAGGTACTTACACCGGCTCCTTTGTTATTATAATAAAAGAAACACAATAGACAAAAGAAGTACTTCAGGTTTCGAATCCCCAAAGTGTTTGGTGTTATTTCTACATATAATACCTCACCTTTTACCCAAATTTCTGGAGGTGGAAATCTCAAAGATACTAGTTCCTTGAATCTAGTATGATAGATATGCTAATGGATCATAGATATAGTTGTATCTATGGAAAGAGACCCACAGAACTACTATCATGAAGCAGCAAGCTAAAATAAAAATATAATTGGAATTCTGTGATCTAAGAATTGGGTAATAATTTTATTTCACTCTGTATCTCTACAAAATTCATGGAAGTCAGTCTGGATGTTTCAACTCTTTAACGGCAAGGATGAAAAAAAAATACATGCTGCAATACAGAAGCGGACACCAAATCTCTGAAAACTGTTCTACAGAAATGATATTGCTTCGTATATTCCAGCCAAAATTTATTCCATTGCTTCAAAATCATACAGAGGTCTTCATTCTAGACCAATTCTAAGTGTTTTCTTAAATTTTACGTACATTTCACTACTTTAAACTGACAAAATACTCAGGCAATCTGTATAAACAATTTAAAGGCCTACATAGTATCGGAAAGTAAAACACTTTGCTCCCTCTTCAATTACCTGATAATTATATACAGGCAACTGATATCCAGTGATGACCTGACACGGTGAATTTCGGTAAGTAGGATATGCCTGAAAATAAATTTCACAGAAAGAATGAATGAATACGTTAAAATATTCTTTTAATTAGAAAGAAGTATCATTCCCAATATAACAAAAATATGAACGACTTTAAAATATTCATTATTTTTCTATATACAACAATGAAGAGTTCTAAATGAATGACTGTCTTTAAGAAGAAAGAAACATTCTCTGTCAATTGCTACCCTTTGGGAGGGGAGGGAGAACAAATGACATAAGAAGTCACTATTACACCAGGCAAAGTTTACCTTATACATACTGCCCACCAGAAGTTATTTCTTATACTGGTGATAAGGCTCTATTAAGACAGATTTCAGTGTAAGTTACATTAATACATTTGCTATTTCTTTGTCAAAATACTTCTAGACTGTTTTGTATTTGACAGTATTATAGGGTAACACTATTTTGACTGAACCTAGGTGTCCAGGCAAAAATAAACAGGATCTGACAGTATAATAGGGTAACAATATTATAGGTAAGTTCTCCTACAGATGTTAAAGCTTTTTCTATACTTCATTTTGAAAAACTAAGGGCAGTATATAATTCAAAACTGGAAAAGAGACAGTATAATGTCTTCTATGTTTCAATAAATACTTAATGATTGAAAACATATAGGTAGCAGCATATATGAATACACCCAGATTCAGTAATGGCTCACACGGAATGTTAGCAACAACTAGGGCTTTTTTTCTAGTCATCGTTCAGAGAACGCAACAAAAGCAGAGGTATACCCCTACATTATTCAAGTATATGGAAAATGTCAACAAAAGAGACACTGAAAAACTATTTCACAATATATTTTGTTACTTATTTTCCATCAAAGAAAATGTCTTTTAAACTAAGACATAAATAACATGAACTAAGAAAAAAATAAATGTTATTTACCACCAGTAAGTGATAGAGTATGTCAAATCCTTCTTTAAATATCAAAGTAGCCATGATGAGAGAAATTAGATGCCAGAAACTCATGGGATTTATAGATATAGTAAAACTAATCGGAAATCTACCCATTCCAGAACCACAATACATCCAGAATTCAGTAACCTACATTAGGAGGCATCTGGAAATCATCTCAAGTAAAGAACAGCTAGGTGAATTGCTAACCTCAGAGAAGAATAAACTAGGCAGACACAGAAGGACAGCTGCTTTCAAATATTTTTAGAACTAGCTACATGGGGGCAAAGCAGTTCAGATGCATTAGAAGTAATAACTTTTTTTAATTCCTATTCTTTTTTAAGAGTAACTAATGACAAAACATTTCTGTTTCTCTTCAAGAAATTTTTTTATGGTTGGTAAAATCAGCGGCAGATTCCAGGCAGATACATGCTCATTCTAAAGCCACATTAATATTACTTTTCCTGGATTTTATAGTCTATCAACAAGTAACTGAACACTGATTATTATGTGGACCAGCCATTGCTGAAGCACCCAAAACCCAGAGAGAGAAAAAGGCACTGTTGCTCCCATGAGAGTTTATAATTGGGTTAAAAACAAAGCAAAAAAACATAATACAGTAATATAATGAAGGATTTTTGTTGTTGTTGTTTCTTTTTTTGAGACAGAATCTCACTCTGTCACCCAGACTGGAGTGCAGTGGTGCCATCCTGGCTCACTGTAAGCTGTGCCTCCTGGGTTCACACCATTCTCCGGCCTCAGCCTCCTGAGTAGCTGGGACTACAGGTGCCCACCACAATGCCCAGCTAAATTTGTGTTCATATTTTTAGTAGAGACGGGGTTTCACCGTGTTAGCCAGGAAGGTCTCAATCTCCTGACCTTGTGATCTGCCCACCTAAAAATGATTTAAAATATTTGTAGGGCATATATGACATGGAAAAAATCAAGAAAGAAAAGGGAGTATATGTTTGGCTCTTTCACTTTACCAGAGGTACTGCATAACTCCAAGGCTCCCCAACAGGCCACTGTGGTGGCATCTTGAAAAAACAGAAAGGAAACCAAAATTATTCAAATATTCCAATACATTTGGAAAAACAGATGATATACACAACATTGAGGTACTTACACCGGCTCCTTTGTTATTATAATAAAAGAAACACAATAGACAAAAGAAGTACTTCAGGTTTCGAATCCCCAAAGTGTTTGGTGTTATTTCTACATATAATACCTCACCTTTTACCCAAATTTCTGGAGGTGGAAATCTCAAAGATACTAGTTCCTTGAATCTAGTATGATAGATATGCTAATGGATCATAGATATAGTTATATCTATGGAAAGAGACCCACAGAACTACTATCATGAAGCAGCAAGCTAAAATAAAAATATAATTGGAATTCTGTGATCTAAGAATTGGGTAATAATTTTATTTCACTCTGTATCTCTACAAAATTCATGGAAGTCAGTCTGGATGTTTCAACTCTTTAACGGCAAGGATGAAAAAAAAATACATGCTGCAATACAGAAGCGGACACCAAATCTCTGAAAACTGTTCTACAGAAATGATATTGCTTCGTATATTCCAGCCAAAATTTATTCCATTGCTTCAAAATCATACAGAGGTCTTCATTCTAGACCAATTCTAAGTGTTTTCTTAAATTTTACGTACATTTCACTACTTTAAACTGACAAAATACTCAGGCAATCTGTATAAACAATTTAAAGGCCTACATAGTATCGGAAAGTAAAACACTTTGCTCCCTCTTCAATTACCTGATAATTATATACAGGCAACTGATATCCAGTGATGACCTGACACGGTGAATTTCGGTAAGTAGGATATGCCTGAAAATAAATTTCACAGAAAGAATGAATGAATACGTTAAAATATTCTTTTAATTAGAAAGAAGTATCATTCCCAATATAACAAAAATATGAACGACTTTAAAATATTCATTATTTTTCTATATACAACAATGAAGAGTTCTAAATGAATGACTGTCTTTAAGAAGAAAGAAACATTCTCTGTCAATTGCTACCCTTTGGGAGGGGAGGGAGAACAAATGACATAAGAAGTCACTATTACACCAGGCAAAGTTTACCTTATACATACTGCCCACCAGAAGTTATTTCTTATACTGGTGATAAGGCTCTATTAAGACAGATTTCAGTGTAAGTTACATTAATACATTTGCTATTTCTTTGTCAAAATACTTCTAGACTGTTTTGTATTTGACAGTATTATAGGGTAACACTATTTTGACTGAACCTAGGTGTCCAGGCAAAAATAAACAGGATCTGACAGTATAATAGGGTAACAATATTATAGGTAAGTTCTCCTACAGATGTTAAAGCTTTTTCTATACTTCATTTTGAAAAACTAAGGGCAGTATATAATTCAAAACTGGAAAAGAGACAGTATAATGTCTTCTATGTTTCAATAAATACTTAATGATTGAAAACATATAGGTAGCAGCATATATGAATACACCCAGATTCAGTAATGGCTCACACGGAATGTTAGCAACAACTAGGGCTTTTTTTCTAGTCATCGTTCAGAGAAGGCAACAAAAGCAGAGGTATACCCCTACATTATTCAAGTATATGGAAAATGTCAACAAAAGAGACACTGAAAAACTATTTCACTATATTTTGTTACTTATTTTCCATCAAAGAAAATGTCTTTTAAACTAAGACATAAATAACATGAACTAAGAAAAAAATAAATGTTATTTACCACCAGTAAGTGACAGAGTATGTCAAATCCTTCTTCAAGTATCAAAGTAGACAGGATGAGAGAAATTAGAGGCCAGAAACTCATGGGATTTATAGATACAGTAAAACACATCGGAAATCTACCCATTCCAGAACCACAATACATCCAGAATTCAGCAGCCTATATGAGGAGGCATCTGGAAATCATCTCAAGTAAAGAACAGCTAGGTGAATTGCTAACCTCAGAGAAGAATAAATTAGGCAGACACAGAAGGACAGCTGCTTTCAAATATTTTTAGAACTAGCTACATGGGGGCAAAGCAGTTCAGATGTATTAGAGTACCTTTTATTTGTTCCTATTGTTTTTTAAGAGTAATTAACAACAAAACATTTCTGTGTCTCTTCAAGAAATGTTTTTTTCGGCTAGTAAAGTCAGAGGCAGATTCCAAGCAGATACATGCTCATTCTGAAGTCACATTAATACCACCTTTCCTGGATTATATAGTCTATCAGCAAGTAACTGAACACTGATCATTATGTGGACCAGCCATTGCTGAAGCACCCAAAAGCTAAGAGAAAAAGGCACTGTTGCTCCCATGGGAGATTATAATTGGGTTAAAAACAAAGAAAAAAAAATAACATATTAATATAAAGAAGGATTTTTTTTTTTTTTTTTGAGACAGAGTCTCACTCTGTCAGCCTGACTGGAGTGCAGTCATGCCATCCTGGCTCCCTATAAGCTGTGCCTCCTGTGTTCACACCATTCTCCCACCTCAGTCTCCCAAGTAGCTGGAACTACAGATGCCCACTGCAACGCCCAGCTAAACTGGTGTTTGTGTTTTAGACACGATGGCGTTTCACCGTGTTAGCCAGGAAGGTCTCAATCTCCTGACCTTGTGATCTGCCCACCTAAAGATTTAAAAACATATGTAGGGCATATATGATGTGGATAAAATCAAGAAAGAACAGGGAGTATCATTTTGGCTCATTCACTTTACCAGAGGTACTGCGTAACTCCTGGTCTCCCCAGTAGGCCACTGTGGTGGTATCTTGAAAAAACAAAAAGGAAACCAAAATTATTCAAATATTCCTATACATTTTCAAATACATGACATACACAATATTGAGATACTTATCATGCCGGCACCATTGTTATTATAATAAAACACAATAGAAAACAGAAGTACTTTAGGTTTTGAATTCCTGAAGTTCTTGTTGTTATTTCTACATATAATACCTCACATTTTACCCAAATTTTCTGTAGATGTCATTGTGGAAATCTCAAAGATACTAGTTCTTTGAATTTATTACGATAGATACAGTAATGAGTCATAAATATTGTCGTATTTATGGAAAGAGACCCAGAGAACTACTATCATGAAGCAGCAAGGTAAAATAAAAATATAATTGGAATTCTGTGGTCTAAGAATTGGGTAATAACTTTATTTCACTCTGTATCTCCACAAAATCCATGGAAGTCCCTCTGGATATTTCAGCTCTTTGATGGCAAGAATGAAAAAATAAATACATGCTGCAATACAGAAGCGAACACCAAATCTCCAAAAACTGCACTACAGAAATGATATCGCTTCGTATATTCCTGTCATAATTTATTCCACTGCTTCAAAATAACTCAGAGGTCTTCATTCTAGACCAATTCTAAGTGTTTTCTTAAATTTATTTACATTTCACGAGTTTAAAATGACAAAATACTCAGGCAATTTGTATAAACAAGTTAAAGGCCTACACAGTATCTGAAAGTAAAACATTTTACTCCCTCTTCAGTTACCTGATAATAATATACAGGAACCTGATATTCAGTGATGACCTGACATGGTGAATGTGGATAAGCAGGATATGCCTGAAAATAAATTTCACAGAAAGAATGAATGAATATGGTAAAATATTCTTTTAATTAGAAAGAAATATCATTCCCAATATAACAAAAATATGAAAAACTTTAAAATATTAATTCTTTTTCTATATAAACTATGAAGAATTCTAAATGAATGGCTGTCTTTAATAAGAAAGAAACATTCTCTCTCAATAGCTACCCTTTGGGAGGGGAGGAAGAACAAATGACATAAGTGCCTATTACACCAGGCAGAGTTTACCTTATTCCTACTGTGTACCTCTGCCCACCCAGAAGTTATCTCTTAAACTGGTGATAAGGCTCTATTAAGACAGATTTCAATGTAGGTTAAACTAACACATTTACTATTTCTATGTCAAAATACTTCTAGACTGTTTTGTATTCAACAATATTACAGGGTAATACTGTAGTTGTTTTACAGATGCTATGGCCTTCTCTGTACTTTCTTTCAAAAAACTAAGGGCAGTATGTAATCCACAACTGGAAAAAAGACACTGTAAGATCTTCTATGTTTTTTTTTTTTTTTTTGAGACGCAGTCTTGCTCTGTCACCCAGGCTGGAGTGCAGTGGCCGGATCTCAGCTCACTGCAGGCTCCTCCTCTCGGGTTCACGCCATTCTCCTGCCTCAGCCTCCCGAGTAGCTGGGACTACAGGCAACCGCCACTTCGCCCGGCTAGTTTTTTGTATTTTTTAGTAGACACGGGGTTTCACCGTATTAGCCAGGATGGTCTCGATCTCCTGACCTCATGATCCGCCCGTCTCGGCCTCCCAAAGTGCTGGGATTACAGGCTTGAGCCACCGCGCCTGGCCAGATCTTCTATGTTTAAATACATACTTTCTGATTGAAAACATATGGGCAGCAGCATACAAGAATACACCCAGATTCAGTAATGGCCCACAGTAAACATTAGAAACAAGTGGGGCTTTTTTCTAGCCATTGTTCAGAGAAGAAAAAAGAAGAGGTACACCATACATGTTTCAAGTACATGGAAAATGTTAACAAATGAGAGATACTGAAGAACAATTCCACTATTTTCTTACTTTATTTTTCATCAAAGAAAATATGTTTTAAACTAACACATAAATAAAATAAGCTAAGAAGAAAATAAACATTATTTATCAACAGTAAGTGATAGAGTATGTCAAATCCTACTTTAAACATCAAAGTAACTAGGATGAGAGAAATTAGATGCCCGAAATTCATGGGTTTTATAGACAACAGTAAAACAGATCAGAAATCTACCCATTCCAGAACCAGAATATATCCAGAAGTCAGCAATTTACATGAGGAGGCATCTGGAAATCATCTCTAGTAAAGAACAGCTAGATGAATTCCTAATCTTACAGAAAAATGAACTAGGCAGGTACTTGAGGATGAAACTAGGCCTCATAAAACTTAGAAACTAGGCCTCATATAAAAAAAAAATTAACACCAGGTGGCTCTGGATAGGGTCCCACCCTGCCTCGATAGGGTTCCACCCTGATAGGGTCCCACCCTGCCAATTCCGGGAAACAACCTCATGGGGTCCCACCCTGCCAATTCCGGGGGTCCCACCCTGCCTCGAAGTTCCCGGAATCAGCAACTCCAAGAAAAAACCTCATAAGGTCCTGCTCTAACCAATTAGAACAAGACACCTTGCTCAGGCCATAGCTAGACCCAATTACCACGCGCCTAAAGCTTTGTTTGAATTTCGCGCCTTAAGCTGTGTTTGAACTTGTGTTTGCCTATATAAAAAACCTATAACAAGCACTCGGGGTCCCAGGGCCAACTTAGAGCTTGGGACCCTAGCGCGCTAGTAATAAATAACTCTCTGCTGTGAATCTCGTGTCGGTGATCCTTCGCGGCGACCCCTGCCCAGGAGGGAATCAACAGTTCGTCCAAGGACCCCCGACCCATCCGGCGGAGACCCATCTGGCCCGGGCCACGGACTGCTGACTGAACGGACCCACCAGGTACTTTCGTTTTGTTCTGTCTGTCTTGCCGGCTAACTCTGAGCTCTGGGGAGTACTCCTTCTGAATTAAGTGGGGAAGGGGAACAGACGTGTCCAGCACCTTCCCACTTATGCCCCCAGGGGACGCCCTGGCGGTAGTCTGGGGAAAGGCTGACGACTCAGTCAGCCTTCTTAAATCCGTAGGCAAGTTGCTCCTGCCATCTGAATATTTTGTGATCCTGTGGCGCCACTCTCTGGCCGCGCGGCTTCTCCTTACTTGCCTGGTCTTTGTCTTTGTTTCTTTCGTTTTGTCCTTGTTATACGTGGACGGAATGGGACAGACGTTGATGACTCCTTTGTCTCTAACCTTGACTCACTTCCCTGACGTCCGGGCTCGAGCCCACCATCTCTCTGTAGAAGTCCGTAAGGGACGATGGAAAACATTCTGCTCGTCCGAATGGCCAACCCTCCATGGGGAGTGGCCCCGGGACGGAACATTTAACCTCTCAATTATCTTGCAGGTTAAAGCAAAAGTGATGGATCCTGGGCCACTCGGACACCCAGACCAGGTGGCCTACATAATTATTTGGGAGGATCTGGTCCGAAATCCTTCCTCTTGGGTGAAACCCTTCCTCCATCCCCCTTCCCCATCCCAATCTACCCTCCTTGCCTTAGAAGCCCCAAAGAATCAGGATCCAGACCCGCATAAGCCAGTCCTCCCAGACGAACCCCAGAGGGACCTCCTCCTTCTTGACCCCCTGCCTCCTCCACCTCAAAACCCCCTTCTGGGACCTCCACCTTACGCTTCACCCTTGCCCCCTGTCTTGTCCCCGGCTCTTTCCTCTACCACCTCGGCCCCTACCCTTTCTCCAACTTCTCCCTCGGCCCCTCTCTCCACCCCGTCTCCTTCTCCAGCCCCGCCCAAGCTCACCCCTCGGACGCCGCCGCCGACACCTCCTCGTCTCCGCTTGCGGCGGACTGAGGACCCAGAGGGCCCTTCTACTTGGCAATCCTCCCTTTTTCCCCTCCGTACTGTCAATCGCACGGTCCAGTACTGGCCCTTCTCTGCCTCTGACCTCTACAACTGGAAAACCCATAACCCTTCCTTTTCCCAAGACCCCCAGGCCCTAACCTCGTTAATAGAATCCATTCTCCTCACTCACCAGCCCACTTGGGATGATTGCCAGCAACTCTTGCAGGTCCTCCTAACCACTGAAGAAAGGCAGCGAGTCCTCCTGGAGGCCTGGAAAAATGTGCCAGGACCAGGAGGCCTCCCAACCCAACTTCCCAATGAAATAGACGAGGGATTTCCCCTCACCCGCCCAGACTGGGACTATGAAACGGCACCAGGTAGGGAGAGTCTCCGAATCTATCGCCAGGCTCTGTTGGCGGGTCTCAAAGGGGCAGGAAAGCGCCCCACAAATTTGGCCAAGGTAAGGACCATAACTCAGCAAGGGATGAAAGCCCGGCAGCCTTCATGGAAAGGCTTCTGGAAGGGTTCCGAATGTATACCCCATTCGATCCAGAGGCCCTAGAACATAAGGCTACCGTAGCTATGGCATTCATAGATCAAGCTGCATTAGATATCATAGGAAAACTCCAAAGACTAGATGGAATCCAAACCTATGGATTACAGGAATTGGTTAGGGAGGCAGAAAAAAGTATATAATAAGAGAGAAACCCCTGAGGAAAGGGAAGCCAGGTTAGCGAAGGAACAGATGGAGCGAGAGGATCGTAGGGACCGAGTGAGAAATAAGCATTTAACAAAAATCCTGGCAGCAGTTGTGAAAGAGAAAGGACCAGGAAGAGAGGGAGAAAAGCAAAGGCGGCCAAAAGTGGAAAACGACCAGTGTGCCTACTGCAAAGAACGGGGACATTGGATCAAAGATTGCCCCAAGCGTCCTAAAGACCAAAAGAAACCTGCCGCTGTCCTAGGTGAAGATAGCGAATAGGGGTGTCAAGGCTCTGGAGCCCCCCCCGAGCCCCGGCTAACTCTCTCTGTAGGGGGGCAACCCACCACCTTCTTGGTGGACACAGGCGCCCAACATTCAGTTTTGACAAAGGCAGACGGGCCCCTGTCTTCCCGCACATCCTGGGTCCAGGGGGCAATAGGGGGAAAATTGCACAAGTGGACTAACCACCGGACAGTTAACCTTGGACAAGGAATGGTGACACATTCCTTCTTGGTGGTACCTGAATGCCCCTACCCCCTCCTAGGGCGAGATCTTCTGACCAAGCTCGGAGCCCAAATCCATTTCTCCGAGACAGGGGCCCAGGTATTAAATCGGGACGGTCAGCCCATCCAAATCTTAACTGTGTCTCTGCAAGATGAGCATCGGCTTTTCAACGCTCCGGTCATCACTAGCCTCCCTGATATTTGGTTGCAAGATTTTCCCCAAGCTTGGGTGGAAACGGGAGGACTCGGGCTAGCTAAGTATCAAGCCCCAATCATAATTGATCTGAAGCCCACGGCGGTGCCCGTGTCTATCAAGCAATATCCCATGAGCTGAGAGGCTCATATAGGAATTCGGCAGCACATTAACAAATTTCTAGAACTCGGAGTGTTGCGACCTTGTCGCTCGCCCTGGAACACTCCTCTTCTGCCAGTAAAAAAGCCTGGTACTCAGGATTACAGGCCTGTCCAAGACTTGAGAGAAATCAACAAAAGAACCATGGACATCAATCCCACGGTCCCCAATCCTTACAACTTACTCAGCACCTTAAAACCAGGCTATGACTGGTATACAGTATTAGATTTAAAAGATGCTTTCTTCTGTTTACCTCTGGCCCCCCAAAGCCAAGAACTCTTTGCCTTTGAGTGGAAGGATCCTGAGAAAGGAATTTCAGGCCAATTGACCTGGACCCGGCTTTCCCAAGGATTCAAGAACTCTCCCACTCTCTTCGATGAGGCTCTTCATCGAGACCTGACCGACTTCCGGACCCAAAATCCAGAAGTGACCCTACTCCAGTATGTGGATGACCTCCTCTTGGCTGCTCCTACAAAAGAAACCTGTATGCAAGGTACCAGGCATCTACTCCAGGCACTGGGTGAAAAA